GAGCTGTTGTTCAGCATCTTAGCTGTGGAGGGCAGTGTCACTGGCCCTCATATGTGGGATCCGAACCGGGGCCCTCTGGTGTCCCAATCCAGTTCTTAACCATTGAGCCACTCGGCCGGCCCTAAAATCCCATTTTTATAGGCCTCACTGCTCCTAGGGCCCAGGCCCCAATCATGTCCCTGCCTGCAGCCCTCTCTTTCTTTCTTTTTTTAGCCACTAACCAGACCTTGTGAATAAGAACTTGGGCTCTGGGACTTTGATCCAGTGTCTCTACCCCAGGAGCCTGGTGTCTCATTTATGGCCTCAGGGAACAGTAAGCGCCTGCTTTTGCACACTGTTCATCAGAGCAAGCGCTCGCCAAGCCCCGGCAGCTGCTCCAGTCAGCTGGGTGTTATCAATCCTACATTAACATCTCCAGAAAGTATGGGTGGCTGGGGTAGACCTCGGGCCTATGAGTCCTCAGACCCAGGTGGGAGCCCTGGTTCTCAGAGTCCCTGACTGTGTGGCTCTGGGCCATTGTGGAGTGACTCTGAAGGTTCTCGGTGACATATGAGGTCCAGGATTACTGTAAAGACAAGTGAGACCATCACTGTGAAATGACATTAAAACCGGTACAATGTTTCACAAATGGCAGTGTACATGATTGTCACCAACATTGACCCTGCGGTTCACCAGCCCTCCTTCCACCATCACCCTCAGACCTGCCTGCCTGGGGGCAGGGGCTGGACTGGGGACTCTGGTCTTCAGATGAGGAAACTGAGGCATAGTGGGTCCCCCTCAGGTCCTCAGCCCCCATGCTCCTGTGTCCACCGCCCTTGAGTGTAGGGCCGCTGCCCTTGAGTGACCGCCCTCTCTCCTCTCTCTGTCTCAGGGCACAGTGTGGATCCTGGCCTGGCCGGTCTGCTGGGGCAACGGGCACCACGCTCCAAACAGCCTTTCATGGTCACGTTTTTCAGGGCGAGCCCCAGCCCTGTCCGAGCCCCTCGGGCAGTGAGGCCCCTGAGGAAGAGGCTGCCAAAAAAAACCAACGAGCTGCCGCAGCTGAACAAGCTCCCAGGGATCTTTGGTGAGGTCCGGGGCTGGCCCGGGTCTGAGCCCACAGGCTTTTGGCCGAGAACCAGTGGTGGTGACAGAACCCTCTACCCCTCAGTAGGGTCCAAGCCAATGGTCACCCTCCAGCCACCTTTCCTGACACCCCCCTTTGCCCCATGCCCCTGGGGACCAGCTACACTGTGTCTCAGGCCTCCCTGCCACCCAAAAGTCCCTTCTCTGCCCTCCCCTGGCTCACCAGGCCTTCCCAGAAGCCTCTACCAGAATCAGTGCCTCTTCCTCCAGGCAGCACCGCCCTGGTGGCCCCTGGTTCTTCCCCAGGCTCCCTGTGGCTGTGGGATGCATAGTTGTTTAGGCGAAGGTCTCCCGACCAGTCTGAGCCCCTTGGGATCAGGGATGGTCCTGACCCCACTACGTGCCCCCCTTTCCTGCCTGGGAGTCGACGCTGTGGCTGGCCTCAGTGTGCGCCACTTGACCTGTGGAATGGGTGTGGCAGGAGAGGTGAGGTGTCTCAGGCGGAAAGGAGGTGCCGCAGCCTGATGGCGGAGGGTCCGTCCCCTGGGCTGTTTATTGGAGCATCAATAGGCCCACAGGCTGAAAGTCAGGGGAGGCGGAGCTGAGCGTGAGGTTACTCGGGAGCCATCGGGGGCCATCAGGAGCCATGGAAGGTTCCTGAGCTGGGTCATGGCATCAGCAGAGCTGCAGGGATGGGCTTTATGAGACCAAGTGGTTTAGTTTTCCATCGTCCATTTATTTCACAAATGTGCCCATCAGGGCATCCACTGCCCTGGGAGTCCGCTGTGGTAGCTGCACAGAGCAGGACCTCAGAAAAGACCTCGCACCTTCTGTCCCCTGCAGATGACACCCACGGCTCCCACGGCCGGCAGGTTTGCCGTCGGCACGAGCTCTATGTCAGCTTCCAGGACCTCGGCTGGCTGGTAATTTCCACTCTCCTCTTCTTCTTAAATGACCATCCCCACCTGAAGATCGTAAGAGTATCTCCAGGAGGAGGTAGAATTATGGGGAATTCCATTTTCCCATGTATTACTTTCTTCTGCGTTTTCCATGTTACTTTTATAGTGAGAAAGTGTTTTCTGGTTAAAACCATAAAAATGGACACAATCTGAATCCTGAGCCATTAAATGTCAGAGCTCCAACAGGGAAACCGAGGCCAGGGTGGCAGTGCCTTTGTGCCTTTGCTGTGACGAGGGCAGCTACGGGAGACGTGGGGGTGGGGGTGGGGGGCAGGCTGGGAGGATGAGCTGAGTGCTGATGGCCGGTGAAGGGACAGAGCTCGTTTCCAGTCCACCTGCTGAGGGTCTTCAGGTGGATGTCAGGCCTCAGGGGGGGCGGCCCCGGATGGCCCGAGGGTGGCTTGATGGGCCCTGAGGCTGAGGGAGGGTAAGGGGCAGCCCTGAGTCGTCCTGTGACAGGTGCTGGACAGGGGGCTCGGGAGGGCCCACATGATGGGACTCACCTTCTTCCATTCTCCCCCTTCACCCCAGGATTGGGTCATCGCCCCCCAAGGCTACTCCGCCTATTACTGTGAGGGGGAGTGCTCCTTCCCACTGGACTCCTGCATGAACGCCACCAACCACGCCATCCTGCAGTCCCTGGTCAGTACCTCGCCGTCCTGCCTGGACCCCGGGGGGAGGGTGTGCTGAGGAGAGGGCCTCGGACAGCGAAGAGGTGATGGGAGCACCTGCTTGGGTCCGGGAGCTTTCTCTGTTTGGAACCTTCACTGCGTGCACATGTGGTTAAATCCCACACCTGTGCACATGCTGGCCCCTGTGTGGCCACGCTGTGTATGCAGACTCATGCTGGTGCACACACACACACACACACACACACACACACAAGTGCACACACACACACGTGCACACACGTGTGTGGGGATGCAGGTACGTGTGGTGGAGCCCACACGCATATAGACAATCCGCTTGTGGTCATAAGCACACACATACAGAACACATAAGCACACACACGCATCCCACCTGGGCACCTGTGTGCTCTGAACACGTGTACCTGTTCACACTGGTGTGTTTCACCTCCTGTGGCACAGGCACATGGGGTGAGAGACAGGTGTGTGTGTTCACCCACCCTCGTCATGGCGTGTGCAGGGAGCGTCACCCGTGTGCCCGTGAGCCGGCGCAGCTCTGGGCTTGGGCTCCGCCTTCCGTTTGCTCCCCGCTGGCTCTTTCTCCTGGTCCTCCCAGCTCCTGGTGTTTCCACAGATGTTGTGGCTTTTGATGCCCTGGTGTCTGGGGTAACTTGTGATGCCGAAAAATAGTGTCTGTGAGGAATGTCACTGCTGCTGCTTATTGGCTCAGGTTAAATGTTTGCTGTGTTGAGACTGTTTTCTAGAATGTTTCCCTAGACGCCCTAGTTCCTAGTATTTCCAGCCTTGTGTTTACCCAGTAAAAGGCTGTCAAGGTGATGCTTACGGTGAAAGTAAAGGATTATAACGAAAGAGGCTTCGGCCCTGTAACACCTCCTCTCTTAACGTCCAGTGGGATTTGCTGGCCCCCAGGGGCCGCCTTCCTTGGAGAAACTCAGGGCTGTGATTGTTGTGCCGCTCCCAGGGGACCTGGCTGTCAATTGGAGTGTTCCCCGTGTCCCCTTCCTTCCCTCCGAGGATGGGAACAGGGACCATGTCGGGGACATTTCTGTGTTCCCCATCCTGGTGCGGCAGGCACACGGCACGTGTCCGAGATATATTTGTGTTGGACATGAGAAAAGTACCATTATACCCATTTGGCAGAGGAGAATACTGAGGCCCAAAAGGAGCGAAATGTACCCAAAGTCACAGAACCTCTGATTGGTCTCCTGGTGGCTCAAAAGCAAATTCAATGGAATGGCACATTAGACTCCACAACTCAATCTGTTTGGTGCCAGATGGAATAAAAGGCTGTTCCTCTTTCTGTCGCTGCTCTGATAAAGCTCTGGTCTAGGATGGAGCCGCAGAATGGCAGCACCCCTGTGGTGCAGGACTTCTCTCTCAGTGTCCCAACTCAGGAGAGGCCCTCCCTGGTTTCCAGCCACTTAGAGCCCCATGGCTGGCACACCACCTGGTTTTTTCCTGTGGGCCTATGAATGCCAAGCCCAGACAGCACCTGTGCAGTGGCAGTGGCCCCCATGTCCCATTCTGGCTGGACATCCTCAAAGAGGCCTCAGCTTCCCCAGCGTGCTGCAGAGAAGTCCTGGGCCCCAACCCAGCCCAGTACCCACTGACGTCCTGGCAGGCTGGCTCGGAGCTGGGGCTTGCAGGACAAGGCCGGGCACTGGGGAGTGGGAGCCAGGCTGCCGAACAGGCCCCCCTCAGCCAGCCTCCCCAGGTCCTGCTCAGCAGCCTCCGTGAGGGCCGGGCGGGCCTGGGCCCTCGGAGCAGCCACAGCACACACAGACGGAAGCCGGTTTCCTTTTCTCTCCTGCCCCCGAGAGCTCGGGGCTGCCTTCAGGGCCCGTCTGTGATGAGGAGTCCAGTGCAAACGCAGCTCATCCTGCCACGTCCCAGGAGAAATGTTTGTTGGAGGCTGAAATAGCTCCCTCAGTCGGGCTCTTTTCTGGTGGGAAAGCTGTTTAGGAGGGAGCGGGATCGCGACACCCAGGTCCAAGTCCTGCCACAGGTCACGTGGCCTGTGTGCCCTGTTTCTTCGTCTCCCAGGGTAATACTTACCTTGGAAGTTGTTATGAGGGGTGAAAAGTGCTTTGAGAAATAACGGTGTTGAACGCCCCAGGGGAGCCTAGAATCCTAGGCTGATCCCGTTCCGTGGACTCTCGGCTCACAGAGAGGAGGAGGGGAAAGAGAATAAACAGCGCAGGCGGACAAGACAGGATCAGGGGCGTTACAGAAGCACAGAGAAGAGGGAGCCGCGGAGGGGCCCCCAGAGGCTCAGTGCTTCAGGGGCACCCGGCAGAGGGGCCAGTCGCCAGGTGCACCGTGTTTGGGGGCCAGCAGGGTCCTCAGGTCTGAGGGGCGTGGATGTGGCAGCGAGCAGGTGGGTGCCCAGGTGGTGCTCTGAGGGCCTCGGGGCAGGGAAGGGGTCAAGGAGGGCAGGACCGGGTCATGTGTGCACGTGCCACCTTTTCTGGCTGGAGCGTGGCGGCCCCAGGGGCAGGCAGGAGCTGGGGACCTGGGCGGGCGGGTCCTGGGAGAAGGCCACCGCGCTCGCTCATGCCTCTGCCCGCCACCCCCTCTCTGGCCAGGTGCACCTGATGAAGCCAGACGCAGTCCCCAAGGCATGCTGCGCGCCCACCAAGCTGAGCGCCACCTCCGTGCTCTACTATGACAGCAGCAACAACGTCATCCTGCGCAAGCACCGCAATATGGTGGTCAAGGCCTGCGGCTGCCACTGAGGCCCTGCCCTTGAGATGTTGCAGTGCCTCCGCCTGGCTCAGGCCCCTCTCCAGGCTCAAGAGACCCTCAGATGCCATCACGGTTCTGGCGCGGCTGCTGGGGGTACCTCATCCCTTTGCCCATGTCCAGCTAGGGTCTGGTCCTGTACAGGCTCCTCTGCCTCTCCCCTGGGACTGCGGCTTGTCCCACTCCACCCTGTAGAGCCTGCTGCACACAGCAGCCCCGGTGTGCTGACTGCCTATCTTAGGACCTGTCCCTGGCCATCCTGGCCCACACTGCGGCCGCTATGGAAAGGTCTGAGTTGCTTCTGGAGCGTAAGTGTGGCTGGCTGGGCTCTGCATCGCTCACCACAGGGTTTGGGTGTGGGAGCAGGGTCTGCCCTTTCCCAGAGCAACCCTGCATTTCTGGGGCGTAGCTAGACACGTGCACGCCCTCAGTGCAGTGTATTACTGGGTTCCTAACTTGGCTCACTGCCAGTTAGAACATTAGCAAAAGAACAAGCTGGATGGGCCTCATGCTCTGGGCCTTCCCTTCTTCTGCCTGGGGAAGGGGTGTGACCCCCAGAGAAGCAAAGAGCCTTGGGGCCTTCCAGTTCCCGTGCGTCTCCACGTGGGGCTCAGCATTGAGACAGAAGCAAGGACCACTTATGCAGTGAGTGGTCCTGGCAGACCCAGCATAGATGCCACACCACCTACACCCTTGCCCATGGCCATGAGCAATCAACCTGGGCACTTTTTCCACTGAACCTGGACAGGGTCTCAAGACACTAACACAAAACTTTAGACAGCCAGCAGCCATTCAGAGGTGAACTGAACTGGTTTCCTGCTCCTGCCATGCTAAGGAGCAGTCTATTCCTCCCAGAGCACGGTGCCTGGGCCGCCTCTGGCCAGGCGTGGGGAGAGGGTCAGCGTCTACTAGAGTCTAGGAGGTAAGAGCAGGCTGTCATCCTGTGCCCAGGAGCCCCATCCTGTTTCTTGGGGCCTCTGAGCCAAAGAAAAGGCCCCTGTCCCAGGGGAGTGACAGGCGGTAATTAGGCTGAGCTGGGTGGGGAAGTTCCCGGAAACCACTGTTCTCCTTGGAGCAGCAGAGGCAGTTGGAGTGTTTATTTGATTTCTGACTTGCTAAGCCTATAATTTACCTGCTGGAGCAGACAGAGTCCAGCTGCCTGAACCCTGAAATACTGTGTCGTTAATAGCAGATCCTGGGCCTGCCCCAACCCACAGGCACAGCCCAGAGGCAGAATGACCCCTGTGCCCAAGGACACGCATCCCTGGAACTCACTCTGCACCCTGAGCACAAGCTCCCGGAGAGCAGGTCTGGAGCTGGGGTGGAGGCTGGGGTCATGCTGCGGGCCAGGAGTCCCCCCACCTGGACCTGGGAGGGACTCGAGGAGAGAGTACAGAGGAAGAGACCTCCCCAAGGACACAGGGGGCTGGTCCAGACTATCTTGAAGGACGTAGTAAGTTCCCCATCAGTGTAGGGATCTAAGCTCTGGCCTCAATGTTAAGACACCTAATAGGTGGCTTCCTTCTCTGGGCCTAATTTCCCATCTTTAAGATGAAGGTGAGGAATTTTCTGATCTCCAAAAGGCTTTCAGCCAGGGAATCTGTGTCTGCTGACCCTTTCTCACACTGAGCCCAGATACAGCCTCATAACCCTGAACACAGAGCTCAGGTGGCTGTCAAGATTGAGTCATGAATCAGGTGGCCATCACAAATTGGCACGTAACATGGAACCTGTTTGCCATTCTAGTACTTACCTAACAGATCTCTTCCCAACATCAAGGATTGTCTTTTAGGTAACTATAAATTTAAAATTAGCCATTTTTTTGACAACTAAGTTTTTTATTTCCCCTGGTATCTCAAGTACCCAGTCAATGGCCTGGCGTAGGGAGGGGTACACCAGGAATGTCTGTCAAATTACCCAAAGGTTTGTAGATACTGAGTACACCTTCCTTATCAATCTACACACAGTAGGAATGGAATTGCAATCCTCCTTTTTCCTGAAGAACAATTGAAAAACTCATTGCTTACCTACCTGGCCATCAGCAACTTCTGAGATCTAGTCACTAAATTAAATCAAATAAAAAAAAGCCCTGAGCAGTGAAACTATTGTGGACACAAAGCCCATGTGTTTTATTCCATGAGTTATCTATTTGCTGAGCCAAACATGGCAGCAGCAATGGGTGGCCCAGCCTGGCTGCTACGCAGCACAGATGCCACCATTTCCCTTTCTTTTGCTCAGGACGTGGCTTGGTTATCTGGTCACACCAGACCAGAAGGATAAATAAGGGTGGTCAGACCCACTGACAACAATGAGAAATCAATGACAGTTGACAGGGAGGACACGGGTAAACAGGCTAAGGAGAAATGCACAATAGACTTGGTATTTACAGTTGAATCCTGGCCTTGAGACCAAGTTGTCAGAATGATAGTGTTCATTGTGATCTACGGTGTAGGGAAACATGTTCTAGAAAAATCTCTAATAAATAAATAGGAAAGAGGCAGCCGAGGAAGGGTACAGATTTTTGGAGCCAAATGGATTTGAATCTTGGTTCTTCCTCCTCAGTAGAGCAGGATATTGGTTCTTCCTTCCAAGCTATTATAAAGATCAGATATGTGCATAACCATTTAGGACAATGTCTGGCTTATAAATGCTTAACTGGTTTCTGGTGCCTGCTCATATAATTACAAATGAATTTGCAAATTTTGAGCCCCTTCCATGCTTGTCCTCTAAACCTCCTCCTGGAATGTGTTTTGTGGGTGATGGTTATTTATTTCAGAGCTGTGCTTTTCTGTAAAATATTTACACACTGCAAACCTTTGAGGGCAGGACTTGAATTCTCCAGTGCTCGAAGGGCCTGAGGCAAGTGCCCAGTTTTGCCCACAGTGGTCAGGGTCCTGAAACTTTGCTGTGTTCCAGAAACACGGGGGTCTCACTGTCCTGTTGAGGGCATTCAGCACCCACCAAGTGCCGCTTTCAGCAGTTTCAACAAGGGGTTGTCTGTCACAGGTTTTCCTACTTAAGGAAAAGACCATGTGCAAGCCCTTGACCCACTTCTTTTAAATGTGTTTTTCGTTTACTACAAAAATAATGCAAGTTTGGAGGAAAAGTTAAAAAAAAAAATATATATATATATATAAATAATACAATTCAAATCACCATAGTCCTATAATTCAGATAAACACACTATTGATATTTGTGAATTTATTTCATTTTTTTCATAGGATATACATATATAGATGTTTACATATTATAGATAAGTATTTTAACAAAATTGGTATCATACTGTACTATATAAAGTGCTTGAGATATGCTTTGCCACTTTATTAGTGAAAATTTCCCTGTTAATAAATATTTTTTAAAAACATGCCCTTGAGTTTTCTATCACCTGAACTCTACAAGACTCAGTTTTCACCATTAAAAATCAGGTCCCACAATCCCTTCCTCAGAGGGTTGTGGGGAGGCTGCCATGACTCTGACGAATGTCTTGTGCCAGCAGCGTCTGGAGGCAGAAGTGCGGTTAGAGAGGAAACTCCAGGACTGATCCTGGGGCCACAACCCCAGGTCTCTTCCTTCGTGCAGCCATCAGAGCAGCACATGGACGGGGCTCAGCCCTAAAGGAGGTAGTGAGGGAATAAATCGGCAAAACCGAGCCCCATGTCCTCAGTCCTGGTGCGGGAACAACGAGAACGTGGACAAGGAGGCCGCCTTAGACAGGAGCCACGCAGGCCCAGGAAAGCAGCTTTGCCCTTCAGGTTGCAGCAAAGGCCCCACAGCGCCCCAGGGGTTCACTTCCCACAGAGCCCTTCTGAGTGAGGGGGGTTGGTGTGCTGAGTAGCTGAACTAGGCGGCTAGGTTACTGCTCCCCAAGCTCTGGGGCCTTTCTCCTGTCTGGAAGAGTCGGGCCCCATCTCCTCGAGTTGCCCCACAAGGGTCCAGACCAATCATGGGGACCATGATTATGTTCCCCCCAGAGCCTTGGGCCTCCCTGCTGTGGACTGAGCCTAGAGCAGCCCAGTAAAATTCCCAGCACTCTATTATGATGGGGTGGGGGAGGACGGGGAGATTGGGCCAAGCTTCTTGTCCCAGCTCTGCCACATTGTCCTGGGTGACCTTTGCAATCATGTCCCCTGAGCCTTGGTTTACCTCTGTACAGGGTTCTGGTGTGGACACAGTGACAGAACACCCATGGACACCCCGGCAGAGCCTTGGGAGGGGCAGCAGGCCTCTTCTGCCTGCTGGTTCATCCGGATCTCAACTGAAGATGAAAAAGCCCAGCCCAGTGGCTTCTGAATGGCTTGAGCAACCCAACCCACAGGGAGGGAGGTGCCCAGTGGCTACAGGGCTGTTCCTGCTCAGAACCTTCTGCAAGTGAAGGATCTTTAAAGCCACCTGGCCAACCAGAACATGGAGCGGGAGTGGAGAAGCCAGCCCGCCTTGAGCTCCAAGCAGAGACTGCACACAGTAGGACCAGACTGTGAACTTAGTATGGGGTGGGACCATTTGTCTCATTCAGGGGTCAGCAAACTTTCTGTAAAGATTCAGGTAGTAAATATTTTGGGGATTTATTGGTTAATTTTATGTATAAACTTGGCTAGGCCATGGTGTCCAGTTTTTAGTCAAACACCAGTCCAGATGTTGCTGTGAAGGTATTTTTCAGATGTGATTAACATTTAAATCAGTAGAACTGAAGTAAAGCAGATTACCCTCCATAATGTGAATGGGCCTCATGCAACCAGTGAAGGCCTCAAGAGAGAAAAGACTTTTCTGGCATTTATTATATCTGGTAAAACAAACTAAGATTTTACCATAAGAAACGTTCAGGAGCCACACTGGTGGGTCCAGGAGAGGCCCTGGCAGCGAAGGCCTGGACAGGCCATGCACAGTGGGGAGGTGGTGCCAGGGCTGGCTCCTGGGCCCACAGGCACACTTGGCAAAGAGCCAAAGGAAGCCCAGGCCACGCCTGCAGGGGAACTGCTCCAAGCTGACCCCAAGAAGGGCCATGACAGACCCCTGCTTAAGGGGACCCTCAGGTGCTGGTTCCTGGGCGAACGGCTCCTGGACACGCAGGCGCAGTGCAGAGAAAGCGCCTCTCACACGTACTCCCCACAGTCGGCGATGATCACCTTCTGCTTTGGCTTCCCGTCCTTGCTGCCCTGGGCCTTTGCAGGTGGAACAGAAGAAGAGGAGAAACCGGGAGAGGGAGGGTGAGGTTAAAGGCAGGCTCAGGGACACCCCCGTCAGCAGGCCAGAGCAGAGGCAGCCTCCTCCTGGGAGCCGCCGGGGCCCCTCTCTCCAGGCCACAGGGAGCCCACTCCAGCTCTCCCATGAGGCTGTGCACAAGGGCCCGGACGGCCACCTACCTCAATCTGCCGCAAGACATCCAGGCCTTCTGTGACCTCCCCAAATACCACGTGCTTGCCATCCAGCCAATCCGTCTTGTCACACGTCAGGAAGAACTGGGAGCCATTGGTGTTGGGGCCGGAGTTGGCCATGGAGAGCAGGCCTGGGGGACAGAAGGAGCATGTTAACTCCCTCCACCCTGGCTGCTTCGGCCAGGCAGTCTCAGACTCCGGGACGTACCGACCACGCGGATGCCTTGTGGCCACTCAACTGATAGCCAGTGAAATGGTGAGCAGGCTTGTTTCGATCATTTTATACTGGTACGTTCTTTCACTCATTCAACAAATACTTACTGTCTACTTTGTAACCAGGCCGCCGTTGAGCCCTGGGGACACTGGTCCCAGCTCTGGTGGAGCTCACAGTCTAGTGGAAAAGTCACTCAAAGGAGAATTGTGCTGTGACAGCCATGACATAGTGAAGCCCAGTGACACAGACATCTGTGCAGGCAATGAAGAGAGAGAGAGTGTGTGTGTGTGTGTGTGTG